TCACATGGGTAAATTGTAATTATCTGGCCAGATATCTATTGGACGACCTCGGAAAGTTATAATTACTTTATATCGAGATGATCTAAGTTAATGTCCAATTTAAACTGGTCAAATCGTTCAACGGGTGCGCTATTGAGAGGGACTTTGTGACCAATGTTCGCGAGCCCCAAACAGTGGCCACTTTGCCGATTCTGCTCACTGGGTGCACAGCAGCTGCTGGGTGCTGCTCGGGTGGTTTACTAAGCAGAACCGGCAAAGTGGCCACTGTTTGGGGCTCGCGAACATTGGTCACAAAGTCCTTCTCAATAGCGCACCCGTTGACCGATTTGACCAGTTTAAATTGGACACTAACTTAGATCAGCTCAATATAAAGTAATTGTGACTTTCCGAGGTCGTCCAAAAGATATCTGGCCAGATAATTATAATTTACCTATGTGAACCTATCATTTTGTCACACTCTTAAAAAACACATTTTACAAATGTGGTCACTGCGGCCAAACGGTAGATCATGAACTTTTAATACTTGACAATGTAGTTTCTTATGGGGGACTATAATTGCGGTTAACTTGTCATAAAATGATGTGACCGACCCCGCGAATTGACCGAGAATTACGCGTCAACCTATCAATATGTCGCGAAGTGCATCATCTTATTATATACATGTAATGTATGTAGTGTATGGGTAACACATGGGCATTACGAGTCGAATGGAAACTTTTTTTAATTTCACCTATATTATTAGCATTTTTAACTGTTAAACAAATCAGGTACAATTAAATATATTTTTACTATATATGTCAATTTTAGCAATATGAAAGACGATTTATTAAAAACTACAGTACAATGAAAATTCATTTAAAGCTTTAAAATAACATGTAAAGTATGAAGGGTTTAAAATCTTATCTTGCTCATACATTACAAATATATTACTTTGAATGACTAAACTGCGATTGAAAAGCATTTGCTTATCACTCACTAAGCACTCAATAAATGTTCATTGTACCCTTTTTAATAAATCGTTGTTCATATATAATAATAGCCATATGTAAAAGGAATATATAAAAGGGTGACTTGAACTCTGCTTACAATATGACTGTATAGCATTGAAACAATATTAACTTTGTTTTTATTTTATATTACTCATAGAGTTCATGTCACCTTTTCGTATATTCCTATCTCATATGTGACTATATTTTCAATTTGAAAATAAGTATATTATACTTATAGGAAACAGAGTTTTGGTATTGCAATGAATTTGTTGATTATTATATCAAGCATGGTCACAATTGGTGTATTATATGTACAAACTAATGTCCAATTAACTATACGCAATCCTAGGTAAGAAGATAAATATACGAAAAATATTTATTTTAAATTTACTCATAAAACTGTTAATATTGATAAGTTATAATTTATAAGTCAATGTAATTAGCCTAAGTCAATGTAACTTATAATATGTTACACGAGTAGTAAAGGATCAAACCATAACCGGCAACTTAATAGTACCGGGATCATAATATGAAAATAATGTACTCAAGTATAAGCTGGCCTACAAAACTGTGTTCAGACTAATAAATATATAATTGAAAATTGTATACATTGTGTGAAACATATTTCTCCAAAATTCAAAAACTGGTTTGAACTTGTTATTACAATTTGATAGATATAAATAATGTACAAATAATTTATTGTTTTAAAGTATGGTTACAATTTAATTTTAGAAATTAACTTAATTACCAACCAAATTAACTAAATAATGAACTATATCAACTAAATTTGGAACCAAATTAACTAAATAATTAATTAATGTTCTAAAATTATAACTATAATTTTTGTACATTATTTATATCTATCAAAACGTAATGTTGAATTCAAGCCAGTTTTAAGTCTTTTGGATAAATATGGATTACACCCAGTATGTCAATAAAGGGATTAAGTGTAGATAAGGGTGCATATTTTAACACAGTTTTGTAGGCCAGAGTATAAGCTCTGAGTTGTCAAGTTGTCTGTTATGTATTAAACTGTGAAATATATTTTGACGGATTGCCTATACCTGTAATCCTAAATACATTCTCTACTATGAACTTTCCAGTTATGCATTTGTCTCTGTTATGTATGCAAAATGAATGACTTATGTAAACTTGTTTTATTCTCAATCTGGTCAAAAACTAGCCTATATCCATTATAACATATAGGGTATAGGCTAATTTTGGCCATATTGAGAATAAATCAAGTTTACCATAACCTACTCCGAGTTATGCATTGACAAGCTATTTATTAGGATGTAAATTAATTTTACATAAATACATAACATTTCAGTGCTTACTTTTTAAAATGCTTATAATTTTGTTATTTGTATGTTCAAATTGTAACAATTCTTTTGAAATTTAATTAGAATTTAGAATATTGAGTGATGTTTTTTATAAATTAATTAACTAGTCAAATATATTCGTAAAAGGTGATGTTAGAAATTTAAGGATTATTAACATTGACAATAGATGAATAAGATATAATAGACCAACATTATGAAAGTGTGATGACATAAAAATATTTTAAAGAACGCTGTCAGGAAATGCCACAAAATTGAACAAGCACAAAGGTTGTTGCCAGAGGTCATGCGTAAAGTCACGAGTGACATATCATATAGGAAGAATTGAACTTGCACTTAAGCACAAAGCCATATACAAATCCAATTTATAATAGAGGTTAGGCAAACAGATTTATTTAATAAAATTGTATGTTGTGAACACAAAAATATAACTAATTCAATTGTATGTTCACTTATGATTACTTATGCTACTAAATATGCTTTTAATTTATTAAAAAGAACATTCGATTTAATAAAGATTCTTAAGTGGTTACAATTTTGGGCATGTTTAGGCACTTTCATAAAAAGCAAAATTTCATATTGCCACTTAATACACAGGGCTTAATATACTTAGGGAATTGTGATATATGTGACACGTAATATATGATCACGTGACACTTTGACTTTCGCTATTTATAATGGTCGCTTTATTTCTAGATTTAAGAACACCATTTTATTAAACATAATCACGTATGTGGGACCTTATTGTATCGGGATACTATTGACGCAGTATTATCACAAACACCCGAATAAGGGTTATGCAAAATATGTAGATATTTCCTTGGTTATTGTAAAATATTTTACAGATTTTATAATTATTTAGAAATACAGTTCAATCTTATGGAGATTATGTATGACAACAATGGCCATGATGATACTGACTAATATTTTGTATGAAAACCAAACCATACACTCGGATAATATGTTGAGTGCATTGTATGCCTCAACCCTTTGCATGTTATGGTCTATATGTGTGGCGTATATAGTTTACACGTGTGGGACGGGTGGAGCACCGGTACTCAACAGCATACTGTCGTGGAAGGGATGGCAACCCATTAGTAAACTGACTTACCAGGCTTATCTCATTCATCTAACTGTTTATCGTTATAAATTTTACACAATAAGACAAACACTTGACTTAACAGTGGGGACAGCGGTAAGTGGTTTATGAAAATTGAATATTATTTTAAATTAATTAATAGTATTTTTAAATCTAATTAATTTAATGTTTATTACGTAGATATTGGAGTTCACTATTCAAGTGATTATTACATTTATTATCAGTTATTTCGGTTATGTATTCATTGAGAGACCATTCATTCAAATTGCAAATGAATTCCTATAAAAAGTTTATTGTAATCATAATATGAGCGGTCGATGGGAACGGGTTTAGAGACACTATGGGAAAGGGAGATGAGGTGCCGACTAAGTAATTATGCATTTGAATGTGTCAAATATAAATTATTCAAGACAATTAATTAATAAAATTCAATTACAGTATATAAATACAGTAATCAATGTCTAACATGGATTAATACTATATTTATGAAATGTTTTACATATAAATATTAGACACACTGTAAATCACTGTATAATTCATACTCTCAGTGGGTTTGACATTCATATTGATTCAAATGATTGTGGTCATTCAATAATTTTACTAATTAAATTAATTTAAGTAGATTAATTAAGTAGACAGATTGTAATTTTTATATCTAAATATTTCCTTGTTAACTCGTTTACACAATTTTTATTATAATTATATAATATTTTTGTCTTTTATATTATCAAATATACTGTATGTTATAAAGCATTTTTAAAGTATATTTAAAATATTTAATAAGTTTTAATAAATATTTAGTAAAGTATTTTAGTATTAATAATTAATATAAAAAATTTATAAAACAGTAAATGGTCAACTAAAAAAATAACTTAATGATAATTAGTTTAACAAAGTTTAGGAATTTTTTATATATAATAATATAGACATTATATAGTACAGTATAATATATAATTATATGTGATTAATTTAAAAATATTTTATTTAAATAAATGTACAGTGCAAATAATGAGATATGATATTTTAGTTATTTTATTTTAGTTTAATGCTGCAACCAGGCAATTTTTATGATGAAAATATTGCTAAACAGGATTTCAGTGATTGAAATTAAAAGTTGGTTTTGAACTAGCACAATCATTCAATTTTATTTAAGTTCTATTAAATAATATTAAAATAAGTAATATTGTATAATACTGTTTAAGACTAGTTTTAATTTTTTAAATTTCAAATAAACAATATATGCCAAATTAGCCTTGACACTACCTATGGGACGGGTAGGTCAACGTATAGACATTGTCAACGTCGTGCTCTATATGACGTCACCTGAAGCCGAGTTTATTACTGGAAATTTGTTTGTGATTGATGGGGGTAAATGTTGCACCTAGCATCATGATAAATTTCATGCAAAACAAATTACAGTATATGAAGTTACACCTTAATTAAATTAAACGGATTGTGATTTATATGCATTAAGTTGTTTGCACAAGCTAAAACCCG